AGGCAAGGACACAGATTCAGCACGCAGTCGCTTCTGTGGGTTGGCTTTGGGTGCACAGGAGCCATTTTATATATATATCATCACACCCCAGTATGTTCCAGTACAAGGCTTGGGGATTTCTACTCTAACAAAACAAATAGCCTATCAAAATTTCTGGATGGCCCACAGTAAAATGGACTTCTGCTAAAGCCCCAGCAAAGAAACAAAAGGTATCCAACATTCCTGACCTCAGCTGAGCTGTTAATGGCAAACTCATCAAGCTGGACCTTGATGACTGACAGCATTTTTTAAATGCTGAGAGCCTGTCTGGTGCCTTCATTTTAGCTTCATTCAGCTGGAGGAAATTTAGTTGCATTTAAAATTTTATGGCCAGCAAACAAGCCTCTAAGAGAGAGGCAGTAGAATCAATATCATGCTTAAGTGAAATATAAATCTGGGTTTCATCAGCATAATAGCAAAAGCCAGTCCTTATGAATAACATGTCTCACAGGCAACATATAAATGGTCAACAATGGTGAGGCTAAGAACAGATCCCTGAGGGATGCCACAAGTGACATCAGTGGGAGAGGAACAAACACACACAAAAGACTTCAATAGAATAGATGGCTAAGAAGGAACAAAACTGTTTCCCAGTCCTGCCAGACTGAGGCAGGCTAGCCCAATTAGAGAGTGGAACTCAACAATTAATTAATTAATTAAGCACAGGTGGTGGAAAGCGTATGGCGAATCCAATCACATGTGGCTCATTCAGAGGCCTGTTGTGCGACAGAGATGACGGCAGAGCAGCCTTACTTTACTACCATGACTTCGTCTGCTCAATCTTACGCAGTATACCTTTCCTATGTGGGAAAACAGCCTGTATATTTTATTCTTTGGAATAGTTGAACCTGTCTTTAGTTCTCTGTGTCAATGTTGCAAAGGGGACTTTGTGCTCAAATTCACACCTCATCCATCCTATGTCTACAGCTATTGGATAATTGGCGGGGGGGTAGTACTGTTAACAAAAACACCTCCCCAACCTGTGTGAACACCTCCCTTTACTTTTGTCGTTGCTATGCATGTGAGAGGCTTAATCTAGAAAGGGAACTATCTCCTGTCCCCATGCTGGAGACTCCCCAAGGGAACAGCTGTCAACTAAGATATAAGAACATAAGAACATAAGAGATGCCAATGTTGGATCAGGCCGAAGGCCCATCCAGTCCAACACTCTGTGTCACACATATAAAGCAGATGTGCCAGGACAACAGTGATACCCAGTGGATTTTTCCTTTACCATACTAAACTACTGCAGCAAAATAATATGTTGTCGAAGGCTTTCACGGCTGGAGTTCATTAGTTGCTGTAGATTTTCTGGGTTGTGTGGCCGTGGTCTTGGCCGAGGTCTTGGCGTTGTAGAACCTGACATTCCATAGGTATCTTTTTTTTGTTTGAGGTTTCTTGCTGACCCATGCCCAACAGTGGTAGGTTGTCTTTAAAGAACAAGAAAAAAAAAAAAAAAAAAAAACCTCTTGCCCTCCTCCTTAATCTCAGACATCAAAAGTCTAGTCAGTTAAGACAGTTAAACTGCTTCTGAAACATATTAAGTACCTGATTTCAAATACAAACGCTTACCTCAACAATAATGCATCAGACAGTATTTAATAGTTTGGGTAAAAAGAAGCCCAAATGGAAGAAAAATATCCCCTCAGGTACATTAACTGTGTGAGGGAGGAAAAGGTTCCAGCTTCTAAAATAAAGTGATCTATTTTGGGAAGAATCCTAGCAGTTACCTCATTGCTTCACTGACATTTTAGGGAAATTACATCATTAGAAAGATGAGGAAATCAAGTACCCAGAAAATCATAATCAGTAATGGAAAAATGGGCTTTCCAAGAATGCCAGACATTTCCTTTGGAGTAAGGGGCATGGAGCCCCATGCTTATCAATGTAGCAATTCAGGCTTATTGCCAGACAGATGCCCCCCTCGTAAGGACCCCTGTATTTGCACACCCCAAAGGTCTCTCTGACCACCTTCCAAAGGCCCAGATAAAATAATCCAGCTTGATATCAAAATGGTGCCCCAACTAGAAGAAGAATGCTCCCATGGGAGTAGCTCACCTGCTCAAATGCGCCAAAGAGCACCTTGATTAAAAAGCCTATTGCCTTCCAGAAGCTCCATCAGACCTGTGACTGATTAACTCAGGAAGGCTAGAGACTTATCCAGCCAAACCTTCAGTCCTGAAACTAGGGAAACATTGGCCCCGGTCAGACGTGCTGGAAAGCACAGGGGGGAAAAAATGGGCTTTCCAAGAATGCCAGACATTTCCTTTGGAGTAAGGGGCATGGAGCCCCATGCTTATCAATGTAGCAATTCAGGCTTATTGCCAGACAGATGCCCCCCTTGTAAGGACCCCTGTATTTGCACACCCCAAAGGACTCTCTGACCACCTTCCAAAGGCCCAGATAAAATAATCCAGCTTGATATCAAAATGGTGCCCCAACTAGAAGAAGAATGCTCCCATGGGAGTAGCTCACCTGCTCAAATGCGCCAAAGAGCACCTTGATTAAAAAGCCTATTGCCTTCCAGAAGCTCCATCAGACCTGTGACTGATTAACTCAGGAAGGCTAGAGACTTATCCAGCCAAACCTTCAATTCAGTCCTGAAACTAGGGAAACACAGGGGGGGAAGCACAGCTATTTGTGCTGTCGCATTCTGATGCTCCATTATGCAATCAGACGCGATGGCGGATTCCCCGCAGCAAAGAGGACGACGGCAGGGGAGAAAGCCACGCGCTGGCGCAATCACACCCAGGGAGTCCGCATGCAGCTTGTGGCAAACCATTTGCCAGTAGGTCATCCCAGGTACTTTTTTAATGCGCATCTTTGGTGGGATGCCACGGGTTCGCCACGGGTACGCTACGCCTCCCAGATGTTCCGGTGTGATCGCGCCCGGAAAATCCGCGGGACTATCGTGCCTTCAGTGCAGCAAATGCTCCGTGTGAATGGGGCCATTATCAAGTTGCTGCTTAGACTTTGCTAAATAGCTGGAGCTGCTCCCTAGTCCTGGTAACTTAATCACCCCACCTAAGATATCTTGCTTTCCACCCCCATGAGCTTAGTGCTCTGCACTCTTGATGTAATCCTGCTGTGAAACCCAATCTCCTTCTTCTACAAACCCTTAAAAAGGCCATTTCGAGCCTCTCCCACTCTGTAGCTGGTCTTGTACCCAAGCCTGCTTTCCAACTTCATGACTGGCTTGTTTTCTGGATGTTGCCCTTTTGCTGAATCAAACTTTGGATCACCACCTCTTTAGTTGGTTTTGCTTTGGATTTTCCCATCTCTTTCCATCTCTTCTGCCCAGATCAGAGCCCACGGACTCTTCTCTTCAGGACAAAGGGAATATATGCTTTATTTTCATCATTTAATTCCCCTTAGATTCCCTCATTTGCCCTGACTTGGATAGCCAGGCTAGCCTGATCTTGTCAGATCCTGGAAACCAAGCAGGGTCAGCCCTGGCATGTATTTGAATGGGAGACCTCCAAGGCATACCAGGCTTGTGACGTGGAGGCAGGTAGTGGCAAACCACCTCTGAATGTCTCTTGCTTTGAAAACCCTACAGTGTCGCCATAAGTCAGCTGTGGCTTGATAGCACTTTCCACCACAGATTCCCCATTTATCCCAATCAGACAAAGGCATGGGTAGCATTGCTAGGACTGCATTACTGTACTGCAATATTGTTTCACATTTTTGCTTTCCCTTGTGTTTCATCTTTCTAGCCTCGAGAGCCAGTTTGGGTAGTGGTTAAGAGCAGCAAACTCTAATCGGAAGAACTGGCTAGGTAGAGCAGCAAACTCTAATCTGGAGAACTGGCTAGGTAACCAAGTCACAGCACTCTCAGCCTAAAAATAAGCATAGCTCGCCACCTAGTGGTGCCAAAAAGCTACAGCTTTGGCAGCCAAACAACCCCCCCGGGATCTCTGCTATACGATAATTTCAATTTTTTTCTAGCCTTGTATCTTATCAGGAGTATAACATTATTTAATTTTGAGATTTACTCTCCATCTCATTTCCCCCTCAGAATTAGAGTGCTGTGCTAAATTGGGACCTAGGTATAAGGCAGATTGTTTGGCCCGAAAAAGTTGCCCTGGGGATACAGTCCATCCCCACACATGAAAAGGATGCTTTCCATATTATAGTCCTGAGATGGAAACCTATTTGGGTAATAGGTTCTCCAAGAACATTTTAGTCCTGTTCACAAGTTACAGTGAATGCACATACATCCTGCATGAACATGTGTGCATGTGTCTGTAAGAAAGAGCCCCATGTACATTCACTTTACAAATTAAACTGGGGACCTGTACCTGGATAAATGTGTGGTTTCAGTCACATGTTCAGCTGTACATGCATGGAATGTAACTAGCAAATTACTCAGCTCATTTACACAGATTGTATGTACATTCACTAACCTGTGAACAGGTCTTCAGAGCTAAGAGAGATTCATTGAGCTTTATGTTTCTGAAGAAAAAATTCAGAAGAAAATTGCTGAAAAGGAGTCATTGCAACCTTTTCCTCAAGATTCATAACATGCCTAAGAACCATGATGAGACTATATTGTTCAGGCAACGCAACAGCTAACTGAAATCACTCTACAGGAGCCTGATAGCTATGCACAACTGATAGTTACACACAGTGGGAACAAGACTGTAGTACATCTATACACAGCGAAAGGGAAGAGGGCCATCCAGCATCATGCCCTTGGGAATATGTCAGGTTTGGTATTTGACAGAACAAGTATATGTAAAAAAATAAATTTCTTTGTCTTAGTCAAACAAATGAAGTGTATTCCTTGTGTAACACTGAGACCAATTTTTGGTCTATCTGGAATAATGATTTTGCAGAGGCAACAACAGTATTCAAGGCATCGGCCATTACAGGATATAACAAGCTAACTTCTCTGCTGAAATGCCCAAAAGCTTTCATTTTATGTGAATTTTCAGTTACATGTTACCTCAGTTTCATACCTGATATTCATACTCTGTGAAAGGCAGGAGCCTGGAATCTTTGAAGGATGTAGCTGAGCCATTGTACACAAGTACCAAGTCCATATTTAGAGGGCTAGCTGTTGCCTGTCTTCGGTAAAGCTCATAATACAAGATCCTTCCATTTGTCTTCTCTGGGCCTGTCCATGCCACAGAAAGAACAGACTGGAATCCATCACTGTTCGACTGTACATCTATTAGAGGGGCTGGCTGGATTTCAGGTGGTGCTTCCAGAGTCTGTACAGAAGCCCATTCACTGGAAGTGCAACCCAGGAGTGTGCAAGCTTGCACTTGGACTTCATACCTTTAGAAATACAAATCAGAACCCAGTTAGTACAACATATATTTGTATATATGTTACATTTAAAGGTTTATACAGTAAAGGTAGTCCAAACTGGGGAGGTCATTAGCAAACTTTTTGCTATATTTGTTTAGAACCTCCTCCCCGCCCAAGCCCCAATACTTTCTTTCAAAATGAATTAATTCTATGACTATTAATCTTTTCTTTCATCTTGGGCCTTGGTATAGTGTTGGAATGGAAATTTAGTTGAGTTCCTCAGATAAACTGTGGCCTAGAGTCCCATCTGAGCTTCAGTGAATAGGTGGAGCTCCTGCAAGGGTAATTTTTTTCATCCACTCCAGACCTCATTCCCTTGGTGTGACTATAGCTGCATCCCTGTTTGAAGTGAATGGAGAACAGTGTGCTTCAACACGTTAATGAGTAAGCAAATGCTTTGCAGATGCATTGGAATCTCTGTGACCACAAGAAATCAGTTTGATAGTGTTCATTTCTTAGGAACACTGCAGTTTGAATATGTTTGATGTGATAATCTTTGTATTTCCTTTGAACTGGGAAAAACAGCTGTCATTAGCATTTCTCTAAATCTGCAGTCTAGTTACATAAACTGTTATATAAACTAGCTACATATCTAAGCTCACCCCATCTCATAGAAGGATTATAATTTAAAACAAATAATGTAAACGTTTAATCCAGGCCACCAAAAATCACCCCACTAATATTTTTATTTAGTGCATTTTTATACTATTCTTCCTCCAAGAAACTCAAGAGTGGCATATAAGAGTCTCCTCTCCTCCATTATAATCCTTACAAGAATCCTATGAGGTAGGATGGCCTGAGACAGAAAGACTGGCCCTAGGTCATCCAGTGACTTTTATGGTGATCAGGGATTTGAACCTGGGTCTCTCTAGTCCAAGTCCACTCTAATAACTATACCACTGACTCTTTAAGTGTAAACCATTTATACCCTTGTCTTTAAAACAAAACAACGAAGGTGGAACGTAATAAATGTTTATAAAATTATTCGTGGCATGGAGAAATTTCTCTGGACAGCAGAACTGAAGATCCACCAAGTGAAACTGATTAGGCGAAGATTCAAGACAGACAAAAGTAAGTACCTTGTATTTCTCTAATGCACATGCACACATGTGAAATTTACTGCCACAGGATGTGATTAGGGTTTTGAAAAGGGATGAGACAAATACATGGATGTCTATTGCTAGCTATAACAATTAAATTGAACCTCCAGGTTCAGGGAAGCACATCTGTGAATACTAGATACTGAAAAGCAAATACCAGAGGGTGACTGTTCCTTTTGTACATTTGCTAACTACTGTAGCTCAGAGGCACTGCCTTACTTGCGGGGCAGCCCCACTTCTGAGAGACCCACAGAACCAGGCTAAAGAGAACACTCTTGACCTGTGCCAAAGAGCTAGTCAAGCTCTACAAAGGGTTTCAGTCTAAGGATGCAATCTCTAACCCCCCTCCACCCAACAAAGGTATTCATACAGAATGACAACAAGTTTCTTCAGGTAGAGTATCTGCATTTCCTAGCCATTCAGTAGCCATCTGGCAAACCTTCTCTGTTGCCATGCCCTCACATGATCCCCTTTTATGTGATACCTATGCGGAAATCTTTTGTCTCAACACCTGTCCTTCCTGCCCCCTCCCTCAGGATATTGAGACAAATTGATCAAACTTTAAATTCATCAATGACTCTTCCTGCCTTCTATCAGAGACCCATTCCCCCTTTGTCTAAGCCTGGGAACCCATTCAACCTACCCCAGTAAGAACATCAATGGTCATCAAACCCATTTAAATTATCCTGGTCAGACCATCAATGGTCATTAGTCCCATCAAGCCCTTGCCAGGGAGACTGCCCCTCGAATTCCTATGAAAATAGAGAGCAAACCCCGCCTTGGTGTGCACTCTAAAGGCACCTATTATAGGTTATACCCCAAAGCCTTTACTTTGGGTCTCCTTTTTCTCCATGTGAAATGCTGGCCATTTGCAGTCTCATCTGCACATCTGGATAGGTAGTATAACCTCTATAACTGTCCCATCTCTATCATCACCTCTTTATTTCTTAGTTCTGGATTTCGTATATATTTTGATTGTTTAGTGTGATTGTATGCAGGGACATTTTCTAATAAAACTATTGGATCTTTAAATCTGGAGTCTTCATACTGAACAGGACCTTGGTATATATAGGTGTGTGATCCCTTGTACCCTTCTGGCCTCCTCTGCCTCATAGCTGATTTCCCCCAATATTGAGACAGGCCACTTGTGGTAACACTACTGCTTTAAAAGATTGACACCTTGTCTGATCTAGCCAGTTCTTTCTTTATGTTCCCTTTGCCCCTTTCCCCTCCCTGTCTCTGCAGTGCTTTATACTAATATCCTCACCCTCTCTGAGGAAGAAGGAAGGAAATGGTGTGGAAAAAATATAAGGGAATTTCTAGTGAATGAGGTATTAAGGAGGGACCTGAACCACAATGGTGAGCAGGTTACATCAAATCCGAGGTGGGATAGACTTTACCCATGTCAGATTGACTGGTAAATCTGGAGATTATCCTTTTTATATTTGTGTAATCTTTGGGAATTGTCACACCAGATATTCCAGCCTGTCTGTTTGGAGCATAGAAACATCTTATTGATCCCATGGTACACATGGATCAGATTAATTTAGGATATTTACTCATTAAAGTACACATTCACAACTTACCTGTGACAGGGTTTTAGTTCTGCTGCAGTGTAAGACCTTCTCCTAAAGGACACATGAGATGAGTTCATATGAACAGTTTTCTTTGCCAGTTCCATAGGGTCCTGAAGAGTGATTGTATAATTGCTTATATCACCATTGACTTTTGCTGGAGGATCCCAGTTGATCAAAATTAACCCCGGGGACCATGGTTGCAGTCTAGGAGGTAACATTCCAGATGGTGCAGAGGGGTTTGTTCTAATTTTAGCTATTACACTGGTTACACTGCCTTGACTGTTGTTTGCAGTAACAGAATAGCTATATTCTATTCCTGGAGTTAGCATAAAGTCATGATAATGAGTATCCAGACCAGAATAAACCAACATGTCATTTCTCCTCAGTTCATAACTTTGGATTTTACCATTTGGATTGGCAGGAGCCTTCCATGTGATTTCTATTGACTCTGAACCTGTCACTAGCAACTTGGGGGCTTCTATATTAAGAGGTGGGGCCTCCATTGTCCATACAGACTGAGGTTCACTAGCTGTGCAGCCTCCATTAGTGCAAGCAACCAGTGTGGTGTCATATTTTGTGTAAGGCTGTAGATTAAACACTGTTCTAAATAGACTCTTCCCAACATAGATCTCATCACCACTTAATTTTAAAATGTACTTGGTGATCTCACCATTTTGAATTTGAGGGGGTGACCAAGACATGTTAATTTGAGTGGCACCAATATCTTCCAGACAGGGAGGGTTCACAAATGCTGGAGCTGCTTCTAGAGTTCGTATGCTTGTTGGGTCACTGATGGAGCAGCCTCCCAAGGTACAAGCAGTTACTGCATAGTGGTAGACTGAATATGGCAATAACTCTTCATCAGTATAGTTGAAAACAGTGGCGTCAAAGGTAAATGGATAGGGAACATCATTTTTCTGAAGTCTATATGATTGCAGAATACCATTGGGCTCCTCTGGGGGAGACCACAAAATCAACATTTTGTCAGGGCTTCCAGGTATATATTGCAAGATTGGTGCAGCCAAATCCTTCGGGGCAGCTTGACTGGTCTTTGCGGCAGACCATGAGCTATCTGTATAGCCTGCTGAATTCCAGGCACGTATTTTATATTCATATCTAGTCCATGGCTGCAAATGCTGAATGTTATACACAAATGAATTACTCCCCGTGTTATATTCTGTGAAAACAATTTTCTCTTCTCCTATTGTTGCATTGTTCCCTGAAGCATCTTCTTTGGTGCATCTGTGAATAACTTCATAGCGTATTATTTTTCCATTTGAATTAATTGGGTCAGACCAGCTTAGTTCAATGCTGGTTGCATTAACTGACTGGATTATAGGTGCCATTTGAGATGCAGGAGGGGCCTCATCTGTCCAGATTGGCTGGGGTGTAGAGCGAGTGCAGCCAGCTACAGTGCAAGCCTCAAGGACCAGAGTGTACAGAGTGAATGGCTCAAGGCGTCGGAAGAGGAACTGGCGAGACAAACCACTGTATTCGAGGTTATCATCACTGAAAATATTGTAGGTCTGAAAGGGGAGATAAACCAGATAATGTTAGAATCTGTACCTTGCCAGTGGAACAGTAGTAGGCTGGACGTATTGATTAGCCTATCACTACTCACCAAACCTGGCACCGAAGGTTCAGTAAACCCCATGTTTTTGTTGGCTGATTGAGACTCAACAAACTAGTTGCTTATATATGGACTGTGGCCTGAATTTGATTTGATTGTTTTCATGCTGTTTTCAACATGTGAGAACGACTTGTTCCATAACCTTCTCTGCACTCACAAGAAATGTTAAAATGGTGTTTTGAATTTAAACATGAGAATCAATGGTCTCATTGATCCCACATATTGGGGAAACTCAATGCGATGAAGTGAGGCTTGGTTTGGAAAACCAGGTTGCAGGGTCCATCCAGCCATAAAATTCAGCTGGTAAAGGGGTGGCAAATTAGTTATAATAGCACACCCCCCCCCAAAAAAGGTGACCAATTCCTTTCTCCTATGTCTTTCCCAGAGGGCTGTTGTGAGGAACTTGGTGATGGTGTGGAAATTCTTTGATCTCTTTAAGTGGAGGACCCAATACAAGCTGTACTATATTGAACTTCTAGAAGTGAAGTTACAGATACAGATTGGTTGAACTGGTGTGAAGTTTCAGTTCCTCAGTGTATAATGCAATTTGCAGTTCTGTGACAGAAGAGAATTCTCTCAGTTTGGCTGGGATTAAACTCTCATAAGGGCATGGCTAAACCAGTTTGGTGTAGTGGTTAAGTGTGCGGACTCTAATCTGGGAGAACTGGGTTTGATTCCCCACTCCTCCATTTGCACCTGGCTGGATGACCTTGGGCAAGCCATAGTTCTGATAAGAGCTGTTCTTGAAAAAAGAGCAGTTTCTGTCAGAGCTCTCTCAGCCCCACCCACCTCACAGGGTGTCTGTTGTGGGGAGGGGAAGGGAAAGGAATTTGTAAGCCACTCTGAGACTCCCTTGGGTAGTGAAGGGCGGGGTATAAATCCAATATCTTCTTCTTCTAAGGAAAGAAGACAGGCCTTACCTCTACATTCTTCTTCAAAAACAGACCTAGCTCCTAACTTCCTTACGAATAGAGGACATGTGGATGCTCCCATCAAATCTCATTTTCTCCTAAGTAAATTAGTGGACAGCACATGCCAAGGGTTGACAATAGTTAAACTTACATCTAATTCTGAACTAGGCCCCTAGTGTTCAGATTTAGAAACAAAAACAAAACTACACAGTGGGGCCAGATATTGACTAGATGAAGATTAGTTCTGATAAGAGCTGTTCTTGAAAAAAGAGCAGTTTCTGTCAGAGCTCTCTCAGCCCCACCCACCTCACAGGGTGTCTGTTGTGGGGAGGGGAAGGGAAAGGAATTTGTAAGCCACTTTGAGACTCCCTTGGGTAGTGAAGGGCGAGGTATAAATCCAATATCTTCTTCTTCTTCTTCTTCTTCTAAAGAAAGTAGACAGGCCTTACCTCTACATTCTTTTTCAAAAAACAGACCTAGCTCCTAACTTCCTTACGAATAGAGGACATGTGGATGCTCCCATCATATCTCATTTTCTCCTAAGTAAATTAGTGGACAGCACATGCCAAGGGTTGACAATAGTTAAACTTACATCTAATTCTGAACTAGGCCCCTAGTGTTCAGATTTAGAAACAAAAACAAAACCACACAGTGGGGCCAGATATTGACTAGATGAAGATGAAAAGACAAATGGTGCAGAGGAAAAGAATCTTTAATGATTGTACAACCCCTACATGTTTCACCTGCAGCTTCATCGGGGTAATCTTCCAGATTCTTTTTAGTTCTGTTCCCATCTGTACACTTTAGCAGAGAGTAAAGTTCTGTTCCTGTCTATACACATCTCAGGTACTAACTAGGACAATTTGTCTACAAACTTGGGAGAGCCATGTTTTCAGAAAAATCTTTAAATTATCACAAAAAAGGGGGGAGGGAGGCAAGGAAGTTAACATAAAATACTTTAAGTGCTGAGATCTTGCAAGACTACCTCATGAGATCTTTGGCAGCCTAGGCAACCATAGACAGTATCACTGATTGTTTGCCTAAACAACTTAAAATAGATGCTGAAATATTCTGTGACATTCTCATGAGATGTCAGTGGTCATTTAATCTATGAAGCTGAAAGATGGTGGGGGAGAAAGAACTGGCAAGCATGAAGATTGGGGGGGGGAGGCAAAGATCAGGAAGCACTGCCAGAAGAGAAGGGAAATGGAGTTAAAGAGTAGGAAACAGGGACCAGGGGGGTGAATCTCATGAGTCAAGGTCTCTGTTCATACCTAAACTGCTTCAAAAGTGGATCATCTCAGGCCAATCCCATTGGTAGGCTGTTAGCCACAAAGGCTAGAAACGAACCTCCACATTCCCTTAAAATGGGAACAACTGAGACTAAGCTGCACGGCTAAGTTTCTGGTAGGTGAATCCTGCCACCCTGTCTCTGTCTCCATGCTCCAGCAGCCCTTCCCATATAACCCAAGATTGCTCTTTCAAAGTCCACCCACCAGATAAATATCTGTTTCTAACAAATAAGTGGTCCCTAGTGCTTGGACTGTATGTGCCATGGATTTCACATGTGTGGCTTCCTATAGTGAGTATGAAGGAGAGAGACCCTTCCCTATCACTGGGATACTGCCAACATGACCAGTTGTACCTCCCTTTGAATGTTAAAACAAATCCTTATACATATTTCAAAAGATTATTAAGAACAGTCAAATTCATGACCATGCATTCAGTGCAAATGTTCTACCTTGATTAAATATTTATTTATTTATTTATTTTATAACTATAATTCCATAATTTGGATTACCTTAATGATGCCATTGGGCTTAGATGGTTCTGCCCATTTAAGTAACAGTGCCCTGCCATTCTCTTTCTTTTCCACAGTAAAGTTGCTCAAAGCACCCGGGGATGCTTCCAGTGTCCGCACGGAAGTCCAAGGACTCGAAACTTGTCCAGCATTGTTGACAGCAACAATATGAATGTGGTAGGTTGTAAATGGCTTCAAACCAAACAAGTGAGTTTGATGCACTGTCCCCTGCAGCAGAAATATATAAAATTTTCTTTAACTTTGGTTTTTAAAAATAAATTCATCTATTGCACATAATAGAGTTGTATCCAGACAAACATTTCTGAAGGCCAAGGATTTCTGCCCACAGACTACAATTTTCTGGTGTAACCCCTCCCATAGCAGCCTGAAATGCCTCCCTACAGGGCCGGCTCACCCACTAGTTCCCCAGCAAAAGGATTTTGGGGTGCATTTTAGGCTTGTGGGAAGGGGTACACAGGAAAATCACATTTCATGGATTGAAGTGCTTGAAGCCCCGGAAACATCTAGTCTAGATCCCAACCATAGTCTGCTTTTTCGTGGAGCTTCCAGAGGCCTCCTACAACTGCCACTGTTCAGAGTGATACCGCTTAGTCTCAGCAATGCTACAATACAGAAAGTTTCCAGATCATTCTCTTCATTTTTAGGTAAACACAGGAATTACTGTGGATTGTTTTATGCAGTGTACCTGAAAGCTTCACATTACCAGGCCAGCAAGAGACAATCCTTTCTTCTTAAGTGTATGTACAACCAAATATTTGATGGTAGAAAGTGCTGTCAAGTTGCAGCCAACTTATGATGACCCTATGGATTTTCAAGGCAAGAGATCAACAGATGTGGTTTGCTGCTGCCTATCTCTGCTTAGTAACCCTGGACTTCCTTGGTGGTCTTCCATCCAAGTACTAGCCTGGGCCATCCAGGTCAGGACAACCAAACCTTTAGGAGGAACTTTAAAAGGTAGAGCAAAATCTCTCATTAGGATTCCATTACTTTTCCTCATCCAAATTACAATCTTTCCCTTACCACAAACAGTGCCAATGGTATAGTTTTATTGTATGGACTGTTCTCATACCCTATGCTGAAGTAAACAGTGCACAGACCTCCAAAAATAGGGAGGGGAGAGAAAGCATAACCTTTAAAAAAGGTGCACAACGTGACGCAGACATGAACATAAGCTGACATGGGAAAGGTTTTGCTCATGGCACAAGCAGCCAATGCAGTGTCTAACTTGCAAGCATACACAGCAGGACTTTTTTCTAACCTGAATTCTATCAGGAAGGAAGGAAGGAAGGAAGGAAGGAAGGAAGGAAGGAAGATATCGTCTTTAGCTCCTTATTAGTATATGTGCTGCCGAAGCGAGCACTAGCTCCTTATTAAACCTCATATACCAGCTACTAATACGCCAGCCACACAAAACGTAGTTCCCAATGCACAATTGTTTCCTAACACACAAAATGTATTCATCCACAAGCTGTATTTTGGTTATGTGACCTTTTTGATTACAGTCCAGAGCTGGACATAACAGACCTGGGCATAACATCTCTTCCTTTGTGCTGTATTGTGGCACATAACTCTGGTGCCATTAGGTTTCATCATTTTTTCATCATATTTGACTGTAGCCATTTAAACAAAATCTGGAGGATTGGGGATTTTGAGGGGAGGGGTTATACTTAATCCAGTCTCCACTATGACGCAAAGAAGTCAGAAGTCAGTTCCTCAGTTTTGCACTTAGTGACCAAAAGCCAGAACTTCTAATCTTTTAAATATTTAAATATCTGTTAAGGTCCTAGACTCAAAAACATTTTTTTGCACTGGGAAAAATAATTTCTTTTTTTAAATATTAAAAGTTAGATGATAAATATTTAAATAGTTATTTCCTCACAACAATGAGTTTTCCTTTTAGATAAATATAGTACAGCATTCGATGTCCATTCTGAATATTAAAACTCAACATGCTTCTACTACAGATTATAAATATACTTTTCAATGACAATTATCCCCCCCCCCCAGTTGAACAGGGCAAACACTGGTGAGATTAATAATGAAAAGGTGAGGGAAAGTATAGCTATTTGCAAGGAATTTCCAGTCATCCATACTAAGAAAAACCTGAGTTTATCCCACTCAGTACCTGTAAAAACCACTTTATTAATGAAGTACTTCAGTCAGACAACAATTTTGTTATAGTTTTGTATAACTAGTGAGATGTATTTGATCAGACTATTACAGAATGTAATCAATATGAAATTGTATTAGGGTGTATTGTTTACCACTGTACTACAATGCAGGGATGGCATCAGAGGTATCTAATGACCCTCCATGTTAATTCCTACGGGGTCAAATAGACCATCTGGCACTTGCACAGTCTCCCCATTAAAATCTTCTTATTTTGATTTTTTTTAAATGGTCCCAAATGACTAACATTGCTTCACTCTGCCATTAAATGACAGTTTTAATCATGTTTGGGACATTTAGAGTCATCAGTTCTATGGTCTCTATTACGTTCTCCCCAATTCACGGAGATTGGGGTCTTAATTGACTCCAATGCCATTCTAATGAAAGTTCAAATTAATAAAAGTTTGCACTCTCACTCTCTCTCACACACAATGTGTGTGTGATTGCACCACAAAATGATCAACCACTTTTTAAAGTACACATGGAGTATGAAGTGCACTACATAAGAGGGGGGAAATTTAACCTATTTTACACATTTTAAAAACATTTCTTTGGTAAAAGCACAGTAGGATTAACATGTGTGAGAAATCACCTCAAACAAATTATTTTCTAAAATTAGTTATTTGGGGATATTTAGATATATATTTTGCCACAAGAAATGAGGAAAGCATGTGGGATATGAAAGAAAAAATGTGTATTGTTAATAATGGCTCAATTATAGTTTACTTCAGTATGGAGAATTTCATTCAGCCCCTAGATGGCAATACTATCAAACAGTTTTTGTACCACGAGTACTTAATGATTAACAACCAGCATTCAGTCATCCAACATACTCAAGGAAGCCATTAAAAAATAACAAAAATGATTTCATTATAGATTCTTTTAATAAACATTTATGGCTTAGATCCTTGAAAGTGGAAGCATTCAAATTGCCATAGCTAAAGGGAACTTGTACAGCCCAATGCAAAATTATGGACTGTGGGTTAAAGTACGGAGCTCAAATTGAAGTTCATGCTTGGCATAAAAATCTGGCGTCAGGAATTATGCTGGCACAAAATACGATTAAAATTAGCTTTACTATTTGATGCGGTCTGTATTAACTGTTTTTATGAAGACAGTTATCTATTAGGTTTCGACAACCAAACTTTTAAAAGCCTACAATTTATTCCCAAAGGTTTAGTAGCAGAGATGGGGGGTGGACGTTCAGATTTAAATGACTGCTTTTGATCTATTACACAGAGCCTTGGAGATGAGGGCAAACACAGGATTATATGCATCATCAGATGTAAAAAAACCACCCTAATACCCTCAGTTATATTTGTATGTCAGTGTATATAGATGGAACAATCAAAAGCAGCATTTCAGAGGAACTGAGGCTACCAAATGAATTCTTCTAAGCCTGCTATCGAGAGGATTGCACTGCTTGCTCCAATAATTCTCTACTGGAGTCCTAAGTAAGTGCAAGAAAATTCATTAGATGGCCTCATCTCTGGACCCCTCTGAAGAGGTGTGAAAGGCAGATCCCAACAATCAGTTTAGAGGTGGAATATAGTATCACCTAAGGGGGCCAATCTATGAAGCACTGTCTCCTCTTCAGTTCTCCATGTTCCACACCCTACTTAGTCCACCAGCTGCAGCTGCTCCTGGTTTCTTAACACCCATCCTTTCCCCTCTCTTATTGCTTCTTCAAATTACATCGGCTGCTAACTCTTGTGATAATGCATTGATTTCCTTTCAGTGTTTGCCTCAAGACTTTCTTCTCACTGAATCTACACATTCTCCCTATCACCTGCTAAACACCACATTTTTGCTTCACATTTTTCACTTAGAAGTTTTGCATACATATGGGAATTATTGCCCTTGGTAGATAATGTTGGGTTTTTCCACAGTTCTGAGAGTAGCTTTTGCCAAAACTGCTAGCTCTCTACCTATCAGTGCTTTCTTCTACAGGCCCTGAAAACCTCCATGCAACTCCAAAAGGAGTATTAACAATCCATACACATAGAACTTGACAGTTTATCTAAATCTATAACCTAACTTATCTCTTAGGCTTAATGCAGCATTACATCCCAACATACCTTTCAAGGACTAATTATTCAAAAGGATGAAGAAAATGTAACAAAACATCCTTTCCCCCCCTTTCTCTTGTACCTTGAATGAATACATGCATAAACCCCGAAACCCAAGGCAACCCAAGCTATGGTATATTACTATTGTGCTTGTGCACATTTTCAATTTCTGATATATATAAAAAACCCCTAAGATGAATAATTTGCAGCATGTTCTTTGTATAATACCCTTAGAGCAGGAGAGACCGAATAAAAGAGAGACCGGCTGTTCTCAACCAGAGCCAGGGCTTTTTCTGCCTTGGTCCCAGCCTGGTGGAAGTCTCTGCCAAGTGAGATCCGGGCCCTGCGGGATCTGATGCAGTCCCATAGGGCCTGTAAGACAGAGATGTTCCACCAGGTCTATGGTGGAGGACAGTGACGGTTTCCATAGAGGCTAGCCTCCCTCCCTCCCTTCCCCCGTCCCTTCCCCTGTTGATTATTTTCTATTTACCATTCTGTATGCGATTTAGTCTTCCTTGGATAAGGGGCACCATGTCATGCTTCCCTTTTTATGTACTAATTTACTGGTTGCCTGTAGTACTGCAAGAGTTCTTTTAATAATTCTAAATTATTAATATTGTTTATATAAATAGTGCTGTGACCCGCTCTGAGCCCTGTTGTACAGGGGAGGGAGGGCTATAAATCAAATAAATAAATAAATCTGTCTCGTGCTTTCGGACTGTATTCTTCTATCCTACCCACCCCAATTAATGAAGATGAGTTGCTTAAACTTTGGAAACAATTAACTTCTCTTTTCAGAGAAGGTGAAAAGGAGCAGCATCCCAGAAGACTACAAACCTTTCAGTGCTGCTGATGGGTATGGTCAAAACTATCCAGCCTTCAATACCCTGACAAGTTTATATCTTTTCCTGTGATTGTCTTTGACTACTTGAAGAGCCCCAGTGGTGGAAGGAGGGTCAAGAGGTTGGT